GTTGGTACAGGTCTAGTCCTGTTTTGGTGAGGCCTACAATTCAGAGAGAAATGAAGAGAAGTTACTGGAAATAACCTGCCTTTTCTGAAGGAGAGCATGAGGCTGAAATACACAGTTTAGTATACAGAGGTTTAGTGAGCTGCAAGCATTATCACAGTGCTTGATATACAGAATATCTGTAAGATACTGGTGACTGTGCTGTTACTTGTTGTTTGAGCCTTACTTGCTGCCTCTCATGTTTCCTGATGTTCTGTCCCAGTTAGAAGGCAGAACTGTGTCCCACCTCCCTTATCCCTCAGTTTCCCAGGTAGAGAGGTAAATAAGGAAGGCAGGGGGAATGAAAACCTTGCACCAAATTGAAAATTAACAAAATGAAATATATTATTTAACAGGGAACAGAAAGGAAGAAGGGAAGGGGTTTAACAGGGTACAGAAAGGAAGAAGGGTAGGGGTTTAACAGGGAAGGGGGGTTGTAGGAACAACAAGGCAAGGAAGATAAACTTCCAAATATACAAAACCCAAATGCTGTGCTGAGGCTCCCCAGTGCTGGATCTCGCTGGACTGAGGTGGATTGAAGCTGGATGCACAATCCTTGGACGTGGATGGAGGCAGGGAAGAGTCTGTAGATCAGGCCCAGGTCTCCAAGAGGGCCACGGCCACGTGTAGCACAGGGAGCAGCAGAGCAGCGTGTGCCCAGGTAGAAGGTCAAAGGAGCAAGAGGAAGAAGAGGAAGAGGCGTGCCTTTCTCACCCCTTTTATAGACCTTGGCAGGAAGTCCCGAAGACAGGAAAAGGGGAGTGGGAATAGGACAGGTGTACGCCCCTTTCATTCAGGCTTGTACCTGGTTTAGGGTTTCAGATCTCCACCCACCAGGGGCAGCAGGTTTCAAACCATTACACCTGACCTGCTTCTTCAGCTTTGCTCTGCAAGTGACAAATAATGTTGGTTCTTTTGCCCCTGAAAGATGTTGGTGTTCAAGGAACTGCATTGTAGAAAGCCTTACTCCAAACTTAAGCTTGAAAAAAGGAATAAAATTACATACTTTCTGAAAGAAATGATACTGATTTTATTTTGCTGAATCATCATATAAGATTCAGTAGTCATAATCTTCTCTGTGCCTCCATCATTTCTCTTGCAAAGTGTTTTCATGGTTTAAAAAGTCTGTCAACAACCTGCCAAGCTTGTATCCTTTTCTTCAGCCTTTCATATGCCGATTTAAACTATTTATTCCATAAAACAATTAAGTCTATGCTATTTCTAGGGCTACCATGCTAATTTCTACAGTTGTGCACAGAGAACATTGAGTTACTTCCACATCATGAGTGCCCTGTTGGGTAACAGTAAAGAAAGATGGATGCACTGTGCTGAAGGTAGTCTCAGTATTGCTGTGCTTGAATAGTTTTTAAACAATAAGACTGTATAGAAATTGTCTTTCTTTAAGCCTCTGGGTGGTGCACACACCTAAGTTTTTGGTAGTTATATTATGGAAGAAGTTGTTGCATGCCAGGGTCATACTCGCCAGGGGCCATTATAGTTACTAAAGTGACTGAGCTGATATTACACTTAGTGCAGAAAAAGATACAAAGCCAAACTTGCTATGCTTATAGAATGAGTACTACATTTTTCATGATTTGCAGTAAATAAAACATTTAAAACTGCTTTTTGTCATCATCTTGTGTATTTTTGAAGTAGTGAACGTTGTGGATTCTGGCACCGTTTCCAAGTCGTTCAGTGCTTGTGTCTGTGATTTAATTTGGATCTCTGAATTATATTTATATTGACCCTTCATATGAACCAAACCCAGAAGAGCTTGCGGAGATATACCAGGGTAGGGATTGCAACATCTTATTTGTTGGCATTTTTGCCTTATCAGCTGCCATGTTCTTAATAGAGACTGGTGTCTATCGTGGGGCATATGAAAAGCTACCTTTCCACCATCTAATTCTATGTTGACAAGGAAAGAAAGAGAATAAACAACAAAGAATAATTTCTGCAATAGCAGTACTTCAGTACAGCAAAATAAGTCCTTCATGTTATGAAGATGTTAGACTTTTGTTTTCATGAAGGATGAAGATAAAACTGCATTAATGTGCAAGTGTAACTTCAGATATTAGTTTTATGTCACTCAAATTATCATGAGTCTACTCTGCAGATCATTTTAATTCAAATTATTTTTTGACATGCTATTTAATTACTACTTGTCCCTGTTGCAAGCCTCAGTAGTTTCAATACAGCTGTAATAGGAATATGTTTGCTTCTTTTCTAAAAGTCCTATAGCAGGGATGGGTCAACTAGTGACTTGCAACCCTTGTAATATGTGGAATGAGAGCAACAAATTTTTGTTCAGGTCTCTTGTCTGTTCTTGGTGAATTTAACTTGTTGAGTGTGTCACATGGATATTGTTGTACATTGTAGCTTACTTCCTCTTTTGTTCCATACCTCTGTTGATAGGAAGTTCTTCATACTTACTTTCATGTTTTCTATGATACTGCAGAATCTGAAGAAGTCATTTTGCTTGCTGATTTTGCAGCAGAAGGTAAGGGGAGTATCACACAGTTGGTTAGGCAAGTTTCATAGGACTGTAATACTGTGGGGCTCTTCATTTACTGTCTTAGCCAATGTTGGTTTTGACTATGAGTTATGGCTGACTTGCCTGCTAAAGTTAACAGAAGGCAGTAGGATTTTTATTTGCTCTGCTGTGTTCAGAGCTCAGAGGGCTCTGAACAGTTGCTCATCAGAACAGTAAAAGTAAGAATTCAGGGTTCTGTTTTGTAATTGTTCAGTGTGTCTGAGGCTGATCAGTTCCCAATGAAACGAGAGTAGTTTTTTTCAATATGTTCTTTCTGCCAAGAGTGAAAGGTGGTGCTATGCAGCTGAAATTTTCTTTCTGTTTCTATGGCTCCAAGCTCTCCATGGTTTGCAGGAGATTCCACATATGCTGAAAGATATAAAAAAGTGTGACAGTATTTGAAACTACTGGAAGACTGACAGTGTGCTGACTGGAATCTGACTGGTACTGGTACAGCATACCCAAGTGCTGTGGCTCCTTTGAAACCAGGGCTTCCTTTAGCAACTTCTTTTATGTTATCTCTCTTGTTAGGTTATGTGACCTTTTTACTGGAGGGTACGTTACATTAGCCTTCTCCAAACCTCAAGTCCTCATACAGAGGTGGCAGTACAGTCCTATAAGATACTCTAGTTCTTTGTCTTGCCTAAGTAAGAATTGTTTTCCTCTAAGTGTGTTGACACTGTTACTTGTTGTCGATGCTTTGCTACTGTGAGGGCAGTAATGAAAAAGAAAAAAGAAAAAAAAGAAAAAAGGGGAGAGGGAAGGAGCTAAACCACCATGAACTTGAATGCTTTTATAGCACTGAGTTCTTTCCATCAAATTACCCTACCACTAGGGTAAGGTTTTAAGCATGAGGTATGCTATAACAGGGAAACAAAGGTACTGAAACCTAAAAGCTCATCTTTATAATTGAGAATGAGCAAAACCCAACAGATGCAGGGAGGAGAAAATCTGTTTGAGTTTCTACTAGGCACCACCCCCAAATTCAGGCTGAAGTTACTAAAGATGGGCTTCTTACTACAGCCCTCTTGATTTTGAGAGGGCACTGGGAGCACCTGATTGCCTGCAAATTTCTGTGACTAGAGACTTGCTGATTGTGAGCAAGGTATAGCATGTATACAGCAGTCCTGAACAGAATTCTCTTGTGCTGTTCTGGAATGGTTGTGAGAAAGGAGGAAGAGATAAATGTAGACTGAATTCTTTGCTTATGCATGATTTCATCCCTTTTCTTTCCAAAGGAGACGGATGATATCTTGGAGTCATTGTGAAAAAAACCTTGTAGGCCCTGAAGGAGGCCTGAGCGCCATGCAGAGAAAAGACAAGCCGTGTTACTGTAGATGTTAACTGAAACTTTAGTTAATGTAATTAGATGTTAATGTAACCTCAGTTACATTATTAGATCAGGAAGTGTATCAATGTATCAAGACTGAAGCTGCTTTCTGTCCGTTGAAGTTAATCTAGTATAGTTCCAAAAATGCAGAAGTCCCAATTCAGTATGAAGCAGGTCAGAAACAAGAAACCAAGTAAAGTAGTGGTCAGTGTTTCCTTTATTCAGGCACTGTCAAAGATGAATGAATTCACAGACCTAAGGATGTTGTCATATTCTCTTACTGATGATTGAACAGAGACAGCTAAGTTCACATGTAAGCTCTTGCATTCCAAGGAGTAACGCTAGAGCGGGCTCTTGACAAGTTAAGACCATTTTGAGAAAGGGATGAAAATGTGTTCTGCAGCTGCTAAAGGAGGACACAGAAGACGTGCTAGGCATAACAGACTAGGAAGAGATAGAGACCAACTTGTCCCTTACCACATTGGCAAGAGCTAGAGGTGATATTGTAGTGCAGATCCCACTATCTTGGTTCTGCTGCTGAGGGGGCTGGAACTGTGATTTTTTTTCTTTCTCTCTTCCTTCTTTCCCAACTTCAAATAAAGTTGGACAAGCTGCATTGGTATAACCTTTCTGGTTGCTGACAGAGAGCAGG